ATTTATGTTTTAAGCTTTGTATTTTGGGGTAGAAACTATTTATTTTTTTTAGTGCTCAATTATAAAGACATTTTTTTTTAACATTGACAGTATTAATAATTTAATTGTTATTTCACATGTTTTGTTTGTTAACTTGTTTTTCATTTGCTTTATTTGCCTTGATGATTTTTTATATGTTCTTTATTAAAGTCTTTCTCGACTTTATGCAAGAACTTTGTTGTATTTTTCAACAAAGAAAAATAAATGATACTTGATTTTAAACAGAAAGTCTATATTTCTTGAAATGAATTTTTAAGACAGAAATAACTATAAATACAAATACCTAATTATTTTTTTGTTTCAGTAAACCAAGATTGTCATTTTCAAAACCACAATACACAGAGAGAAAGGAGTGGTTGTAAACACCGTAAAGGGTTTATATCCACCTTAACGTATTATTGTATTTTGCCGACCTCATATGGGTTTATAGTAAACACATCTTAAAGTATATCATATTTAGTTGTTAATAAAAGTTAGTTCATTAACAGTTAAAACATTAGTTAGTTAATATTAATAAAAAAAACGCTGTGTTCGAAAAGTATTCTTATAGTAAATGGTAGTCACTTAATAGTTAATCCATAGGCGCTTTATATTAGAAAAGCCTTTTTATAGTAAATGAACTTAAGGTAATACTTCATCCACAAGCGCTTTCTAATAAAAAGGCTTTCTTATAGTAAATGGTTCAAAATGTAATATTTAAACCTTAGAATTTTTTAGAACATTCAGATGGTTTAGTGGTTAATATGATAATTTTACAGACAAGAAATCGGGTATTATTTTTTATAACACAAAGTCTAGAACTAAGCAAATATTAGGTGTTTATTATAATACGAGAAATAATAATAAATATTTTAATTAATTGCAATTATCAGTTCATATTTTAACTATTAGAAATGTATGATTATTAGTATAGCATGTATTTATAACAGTGCGAATGTATTAGGTAATAAATAAAAGTGTGTATTTATAAGACAAATTTATTTTAACAAAGTTAAATAAAATATAACAGAACAAAAAAAAATAAAGTGGCGGCTGGAGGATTTTGGGTATACCGTTATTAGACATGGGACCCACTCCAACTAAGATATGGGACCCACTCCAACTAAGCCAAAAATCCACCAGCCGCCATTAAAAAATGAATACATTTAAGATAAGCTTATAAGTTATAAATATAAATAAATAAGCTTATAAGTTATAAATATAAATAGTTATAAATATAAATAATAATAATGTAATATAAAACATTAAAAAAATAAAAATTAAATTCTTTTAGAATTACAGTTCTTACTACAAATCACAAGTTACCACTCATCTATAATGAGCTTCCGGTAACAAAATATCACTACATTCTTTTTTCTAAAAATATTAAATTATTATTATTTTTATGTAGGTACTCATATATAGGTTATAAGTTATAACCTATAAGTATATGAGTACATAAAAATAATAATAATTAAAGTAAATTTATTTTAAAAAAGTTAAAAAATATTTAAAGGTAACAGAACAAAAAAAATTAAGTGGCGGCTTGAGGATTTTGGGTATACCGATATCTTAGTTATTAGAAATGGGACCCACACCAACTAAGATATCGGTATACCCAAAATCCGCCAGCCGCCATTAAAAAATGAATACATTTAAGGTAAGCTTATAACTATATACACCTATCCATAAAAAGTACTTCAAAATAATAATAATTAAAGTAATATTTTTAGAAAAAAGAATGTAGTTATATTTTGTTACCGGAAGCTCATTATAGATGAGTTGTAACTCCTGATTTGTAGTTAGAACTAGGTATAGTTCTAAAAGAATTTAATTTTTATTTTTTTAATGTTTTATATTTTAAATATTTCTTGTTTTATATATATTTACCGGGCTCCGTATATACCTACAATTATTGGTATTGGTATATATACGAAGCCCAGTATATAGAAATAAAACAAAAATATTTAAAATAAAAAACATTAAAAAAATAAAAAAATGCTGACTAAAAATCAGAAGTTACCACTTATCTATAATGAGCTTTCGGTAACAAAATATTTCATTCTTTTTTATAAAAATATTTTTTTAATCTTTTTTTACTAAGAAAAGATCACTGCCGTTTCTGTGCAATGCAACTGGAGTAATATTTTTTACGCTATTTAACGGTATTAAAATTAATGGAGAATTTGATGGAGAATTTAAATCAACAATATATCCCTGAAAATGGTGAGAAAACCCATACAAATTTAATCTTGTGCAGATAAATGAAATGTGGTTCCTATTGTCACAAATAATATGCCTTATAAGAAAAAAAATTGGGTCTATGTCATTTGAGGGCATTTGCAATGAGTTATTTATTTTGAACCGTATTCCGTTAAAATCTACGTATGTAGGGGTGATTAATATATTTTTTAAATCAAAATACTTATGTTTTTTTATACTTTGCAAGCTTTTTTCATTTGCTGGACCAATAATAAGTTTATCTTCGAATCCTTTATCAGACAAAATTTTATAGCAAAATTTAAGCTGATGTCTAAGGCTAAGTGTTTTTACTATATTTTTTCTTGAGGTCACTATTTGAGCATTACTTTTGCCAATTTTATGAAAAGCTTCGAACCGGATTGAAGATAAATTACGTAACGGACCAACATTTCTTATACAGTTGGGGTAGTGAAGTAGAAAGTGATGTTTTGGTTTAAGCTTTTCATTGGACAATTGTATATACAATTCATGATGCTCTTTTATGATATGTGATAAATAAGTAATTTGATTATCATTAATAACTCTTTTTGTAACAATATAAATAATATCAAATAAAAGGATAAGTAAATTCCATCCATCGTCGTCTACATCTATTAAATCACCTATAATACAGGGCAAATAGGTTACAAAAGACGACATTTCACTGGCGCTTAAAATAATGTGCTTTTTCTCTACATGACTGCTTTTAATTAAAGGAATACGATTTCCACAGTCAACTTTATCTTCATAGTCAAAATACTTTATTCTATCATTTAGTTGTTCTAAGGTAAAAAATAGTTTTACCTTTATAAAGTAAAATAATAGAAAGCCCAGTTCATATCTGCAAATGCCCTCAAATAGATCATGCATCACGTCAAATGATGTATTCACAACACAGTGATAATTAGACAATGAATTCCAACAGCAGGATTCTTTTACGCCACAAGATTTCTGTGCTACATGTTGCTCATAATTTGCATAGTTTCTGACTTTATCATTGTTTTCAACTAACATATCTCTGGTTTCTTCTTTAGAAGAAAAACATTTGCGACAAAAGTTATTAGATGAAAAACTTTCAGTAAATCCTGTTATTGAGTTAACTCCTAAATTATCCCCTAGAATTACAATAAGAGAAAAATAAACTTTAATATATTGGTTATTAATAGTGATTGTAATTCCTTCAGTTTCTAAAAATGACAACTCTTCAATAAAACTTTTAAATGTGGCCTTATTTCCATAATTTTCTCTATCGCTAGAGTGAAACATTCCGAACAGAAAAATGTTTTCCAAAAGTGACGAAAACTTGGGAGGTATCCCCGCAATTGAAACATAGACTGCACCGATTTTATATATACCGGCATGAGTCCCTAACGGGTTACAGGATTCATAGTCATCGAAAAAAATTAATAAGGGATAAATTAGTTTAGAGTTATATTTTTGTTTTATGTTTAACCACAATTTTCCGTTAAACAAGGAACTATAATAATTTTGATTAATGTAAGACTCTTCTTCTTTTATGTATTGGTTAATAGTTTCAAAAACGTTACCTAATTCCAAAAATAATTTTAAGACTTTTCGAAGAGGGACAATTTCACCTTCACAACGTTTATATTGAAGGAGTGCGTTCTTGTTACTTTTATCTAGCCGAAAACCGATTAAAAATGATTTTGACTTTACAAGATATTGATTATTTTCGAAAAACTGCAGCCGTTTATATTCGGTGGTTAAATTTTCAAAAGGGTTATTTTGAATATAAGTAATTATTTCATTAAGTTTTGCAGTAATATTGAGAGGTGTTAGAATGTTTGTTATAATATCAATTAAAGTTTCGATAAAGTCAGAAAACAAACCACCGCAATATTCAACTATATCCTGGATTAATTTTCTAGTGACATTACTATTATATAAACTAGATATAAACATATGCACAGCTTTATGTTTTCGTTTTAAAGATTGCTGAGCAGGCAGTGTGTGTGCTTGCACACACGCTGCCTGCTCAGGATCGGCTTGCGTTTCAGTTATAACTATAGGAATTTCTGAAGACAAATTATTGGTGACAATGGGAGAAAATCGTTCTACTTTGAATTCTGATAAAAGACCGTGTATTTTTTTCAGGTGTTTTTCAAGGGCGTAAATATTAGTGTAAAAACGAAAGCACACCCCACATTTAAATTTTTCATTATACTTATGATAAAACTTTATATGGCGTATATATTCTGAAAATTTTACATTCTTCTTACATATTAAACAATTTAAATTCTCCCTCAAATTCTCCATTTTTACAGTCTTATTAATTAAGGAACACTTACTTTAGACAGTTTTTAATTGGTTAACCACACTGATTACCGTCGGTATTTTATGATCATACTTGGTTTCAATTTGATAAACTGCACGTTGGATAAAGTACCATAAGTGTTCGGACTCAGTCGGGTACTTTAAATTTAAAATTATAAAAAATTTAAAACATGTGTCTATACCTTTTTTTAGCGACGGTACAACATACAGATTCTCACTCACTACCACAACTACGTGCTTAACGTTCATTCCGTCAATTTCAGCCACGATAAACGGTTGGACTGGCAGTTCATATTTTTCATGCAGTTGATGTTTCTTTGCAATAGCAGTATTGATGTCACCAACATTCTATTATAAGTAAAAAACTGAGTTAGGACTTGATTACTTGAATATAATTTAAAATTTGTACCTCTACTTTTACAATTATTCCTCCAATGGCCTCATCGCTATTCGGTTTCCATTGCTTTTTTTTTTACAATCCTTGTAGTGCATGGAATAAGGGCCGACAGAAGAATAAAAGCAGTGTATATTTTGTAGTCTTCACTTACTGTAGGGGCATTAAAAATCTCAATCCACGGCTTGTCTCGCAGGGATAAAAACTTTTCTCTCAGGCTTAAAACATTGCGAAGTACTTTTTCAAAATTTAATAACAGGTTGTTGAAATTATTTGGATAGCTTTGATTAAAGTCGGCTTCAATCTGCAACATGTATTAAATGATTACATTAGCATTAGCTTAATAACAAGGGCGACAAACCAATGTATATCCTAAAGGATTCTTTAGAATAGGCCAGTCTTCATAAATTTGTAAAATGTGTTTCTCATCAGTAAAGGATTTTGCTCGAAGAGAAAATGTGTGTTTCCAACATTTTTGTACCTCGGACCACGGTTCAAAATTGTTTTTCAGCCATACATAATCACTATTTTCGGTAAAGCCTTAAAAAAATCATAATGTTTTATTAGGTATTCTGCTTAAGAGTATTTGTATACTACTATACTGATTTGTATATTATAATTGAAATTTTTACGGGTTAAGGGCAACTAGATAATCCTTAAAAATTTCATATCATAAATTAGTCAAAGCTCAATAATAAATATTAAATAAATTTTTTTAGAAAATTTAATTTCCTATAAATATGTAATTTAATTAAATATAATTCACAACCGAAGGATATATATAAATATTTTCACCAATAGAACTATTATTTTCGTAAAAATTAGATTTATATTTAAAAAATGTTAACCTCAAATTTTAAAATCAAAATTACATGTCAGATTACAAACAACTGTCAAATTTCCGTTAAAGAATTCATGAAGCTGAGAATCAAATAGGCTGGTTTTATAAGCCTATATGATAATAAAACCAGCTCAGCAATATAGATATTATTTTTCTATGCCCTATAGCTTTAGCTATATATACAGTGGTGGAAATTTAATTTCTCGATTTTTATGTAAGAATGTCATATTCTAGCACGCAAAATCGTTGAAGAATGAAGCTCATTCTTAAACGATTTTTGGTAACATTTTGTTTTTAAGTATTGGTACCCCCAAAATGTCAAACTGTTTAATAACCTCAAATTCATTACTTTTAGGATTATTTATAATAGCTTTGCTTGTTATCCTGCACTAGTGCAACCTGAACTACACTTTTATTGAAAATGAAGCCTTTATTATTGTTTTGTAATATTAAGTTTGCTCCAACAATGCATTTTAATGCAAAATTTTAAGTTTAATGTGAAAAAGTGTCCAAGATAACAAATATTGTCATTTTGTGTTGCCAACTGACATTTTGCGAGAAAAATCCCCCAACTAACAACGACCACAAAACAATTAAAAAAACCTAAATAAAAGTTAAAATCGAGAAAATAGTATAAATCACACGTTGCAGAAGGCTATTCTCGCACTCATTCGTTCGTCCACTCGCTCCTTCGTCGCTCGAGGCCAAATTTCGAATTCGTGCGAGAATATGTGGCCTTCTGCAACTTGTACTTTAATATACTATTCTCAGTTAAGTAGTTAATGGTAGCTTCTAAGGCTAGTAGTGAAAAAAGTACTTGTTTTACTTTTACAACAAAGTGAAGTGGAAAAAATAAAAGTTAAAAAAAAAGCACCCTACCTGTTGAAACGGTTTCGTCTTCGCCCTCAAATTTATTATTGTGTCTTAATAAAGGAATAACTCCACCTCTTCTTAAATAAGTAAGTTTGTTTTTGTACTTATCAACTAATTTTCCTTTAGAAGACTCAGACTTATTGTCCCTTGAAAACCTCTTGAAAACTGGTGCACAGTAATAGACTTCTTTACTTTCATTTGGAAAGAGTTCTTTTATTTTTGTAGCAATAGTCTCAAAGTCATCATTTGTTAGTCTCCTAAATAGAAAATAAATAATACATATTAACAAAATCAAATTTTGTACATACCAACATTCATTATTCAAAAAATAGGATACTATAATGTCGACTAAATAAGATTGGCTTATGCTGTCCAGAATGTTTTTTATCTGATATATATTTAGAATGGCCTGGCCAGTTCTTGTGGTTTGTAAAATTTCTTGTAAATTTAGGTTATTTACAAAATCTAGTCGTGATTTTTTGTTGGGAGGAGAATCGACTTGGCTAAAAAAGTTAGTTTTTTAAAGCAAAATGCACTTTAATGCATTTATTAGATACGTATATGTATGTATATATATTATATGTACTATGTATATATGTCTACATTAGGGTGGCCCAAAAAAAAAATATCTTTTTTTTTCTCGTCTCTTGTAAAAATATGTTAGTTTATCATGCTGTAAGAGCCCTGTCAAAATATCAGCTCGATTAAAAAATTTTTAGGGGTCGCTCAAGAATTTTTAAAATTTTCAAAATCGAAAAATTGAATTTTTGTTTTATTTTAATTTTTTTTCTTGTCTCGATATTATTTTTTTGGTAGAAAATAATAAAAATTTTGAAAATATCAAATCAATATTTTAATTTCTAAAGGTCGTTGGTATTTATATTCAGAGGTCGCTCGAAAACATTCAAAATACTCTTGAGCGACCTTTAGAAATCAAAATATCCATTTGAAATTTTCAGAATCATTATTATTTTTAAATTAAAAAATAATATCGGAAAAAAATTTAAATCATAAAAATCCAATTTTTGACGATTTTGGAAATTTTTAAAAATTTTGAGCGACCCCTAAAAATTTTTTAATGGAGCTGATCTGTTGACAGGGCTCTTAAAACATGACAAACCAACATATTTTCACAAGAGACAAGAGAAAAAAAATTTTCTTATTTTTTTGGGCCACCCTAGTCTACATGTTTATATGTATATACGTATACGTACTTTTCAATTGGTTGCAATACGGTTATAAGTTGTTGTTTTGATGTTGAAGGCTCATCATTTACCAAGGATACATTTCTAAAACAAAAATATTATTCTCTGTATTGGAGGCACTAACCTATGGAAGTATACTTCCATAGGTTAGAACCTATAGGTTCTCGCAATTAAATAGGGCTTACATAAAATTTTTGTTCGGTGGCAATTCGAATGGCTCGTTATTGTTTATTACTTTTACCCCACTGTAAAAAACCCTTAATTAATAATAGTAGTAATTTATTATACAAGGGAAAAATGTATTAGATTTTAGCTCGAGGCTGCAGCCTCGAAGCAAACACATGTGTTTGCTTCCCAACTCTAAAATCTAATATTTTTACCAGTGTATAATATATTACACTATTTTTTTCTGTGACGAAAAAAATGACGATTTAATATTAAAAAACATATTAAAGTCAGAAAATCAATCGATGTCGAATTTGAAGTTTTAAATTGGTAAGGAGAAAAAAGTAATTTCATCTTGTTACCTGTTAATATACATAAAATGTCAAACTTTTTTCCGTCACAGAAATTTTTTTTTAGTAATTTGTTTATGCCAACCCAAGAGTTTTGTCTTCATGAGAAACTTGTGTCGATGAAGCCCGACTGGCAGGTGAAAAATAAGCTTGGTCTCTATAGATAAGATAAAAAAAATCATTTTAAATACAATCATCATGTACTTGTAACATACCTTTCATTTAGTTCGGAAGAAAAAGTACTACCGAGATTGCTCTAAAATAAGAAAATAGTTTACTCTCTAAAAATGAATTAGTTAAAAATGTAAAGTAGAACAGTTTTTGAGATATAGTAAATTTTCCATTTAATATGGAATTGACTCTATCTTAAAAACTGCTCCACTTTCATAATTTTTGACGGTATTTTGGGATTCAGGGAACAATTTTACATATTCATGAATTGGCTATTAAATTTCATTTTGACTAATTCATTTTTGACTAATTCATTTTTAGACAGTATAGAATAAATAACCCAAAATGCCTACCTCATTAAAATCCTCATCATAACTAGTTGCCTTTAGTCTTAAACCTATTTTTTCTTCTTCTATTTTTTTACGCAGTGTAACTCTGTGCCCAATCTTTGGTACAATTAAAGCTAAATCAGTATCAGATATGTCTAATAACACCTCTTTATCTATTTCATTTTCTAAAATGTGCAGGTAATTAGGTTAATTAATAAAGTGACCATTGTCATTGTTGCTTCACCGCGAACACAATTATGGTGGATTTATGCATGCTGCACATTTAAGAAATTAAAATTTACAAATTAACATTAAGTTAACATTATCATTAAAAAGTTAAAATGTATGTAATGCAATGAAAGCTTTTATTCAACACATTAAAATTATATTAATGTTAACTTATAAGCAGTGAACGGATTTTTAGTTAACCTTAGACAAACAGCTGTCAAAAGTAATCACTATAGCCCTTTTGACAGCTCTTATAAGCATAGGCAGGTAGGTAATAAAAATCACAATAGATTGTAATGGAAGAATAACACTGATTTTTATTACCCGCCTATGATTAATGTTTACTTTTCGTCCAAGGTTAACTGTGGTAAAATTTAATTTTAAGTTATACCTTACCTTAATTCGAGATAAAAGTCAAAATTTTAAAGTAAAATTTCGAGTTATTGGTAACTGGAAATTTTAGAATTATTATTTTGTTGTGCTGTGTCCGTTCTACACCTTCGTAAATTTTAAAATTATTAATTTTTTTTGTGCTTCCTTCTACGCCTTCCTAAGTTAATAATAGCTTTATTTAATTTTATTTTTTTTTATCAGTTAATTATTTATAGTAAATATTTATACTAAAAACGTATGGCCGATAAATCGGTATCGGCCGATATCCGCCATGCGTCTATCGGTATCGCCCGATAGGTATCGGTATCGGCCACAAACACCATATCGGTCTATCTCTACTTTATTATCTGTGAAATCAAATTTTTCATAAAGTTATATATATGTAGGTATTTTAGGTATATTATTTAAGCCTTGATTCAACGATTTAAGGTTATTTAAAACAATTCAAATTTTCAGAGTAATTATTCTGTATATTTTTATTGTTTTAAATAACTGTAAATCATATAATATATTACATTATGCAAAATATTAAAAGTCAGGCCCGGTTGTACAAAGCCAGTTCACTGCAGGTTCAGTTAAACCACGCTTAGAATGCGACATTTACAAAAGATTAGATATTTTCGCGGAGCTAATACCGAACTAATTCCGGACATCCTAGGCATGCGCTTTTTAAAATTTGGCGTTCAAATTGTAAATTGCGCATGCCTAGGATGTCCGAACTAGTTCTGGATTAGCACCGCGAAAACACCTATTGTCGTTATGTTGATAAAATTCTAAGCCTGCCATCATGGCAGTGCCATAAACCGGTTTTGTACAACCGGGCATTACCGCGTAATTTGTCTGTATTAAACATCCACCTTAATTAGCTTATTGTTTATGTTAACTTAATCTTCTTAATTTTATGTTAATTATACTGCACAAATCCACCATTTCATAAGTACATACCGTACCTTGATTTGCAAGTTATACATAGGGAAAATACATTGTAGGTGGAACAGACAAGTCGAAGTCGGCGCGGTCAGCGCGAAACGAAAATGTTCTCAGTAAGTAATTATTTTGACGAGTGGATGAGTAGACTAAAACTGGCGATTAAAATTTTATTACGTCCAAATAATTTCTGAGAACTTTTTCGCTTTGCGCTGACTTCAACTTGTCTGGTCCACCTACAATTTATTTTCCCTATGTAGGTATAGCTTGCAAATAAAGGTACGGTAGAGTAAATAAATAAACAAAACTTACCTTGAAATTTTTCGATGTACTGGGAATATCCCCACTTGGTTAGGAGTTCCTGACAATCCGCCTTGGAATTTTCCATAATTTGCACAAAAAAACACTTAATGATGCTATTATTACTTCTATGATGCGAATCTCTTAAGAGTCTTCTCACTATTGAAACTCGCAAAGCCTATGCGGCATAGGTACTTTTTTTTATCCCCACTTCAGTGGTTTATTGGGTATAAATGAATCTTATTAGTAAATAGTAATAAGTTATTACATATAACACCATGCTATAGCAATAAATAATATATAATAATAAGTATTAAGAAATCTGTTTGGATAATAATAATAAAAACGTCTACAAGTCATCTCTTCGTAGATTTATTATTACCCGATAAGTTAACTATTACCGCATGGTGTAATATTCTGTAGATATTGTAAGATTATTAATATCAAACCAATGTAATACATTTAAACCATGACAGCTAACTATTATTCATATAAGTTCTTAAATAACCGCCAAATTATTACCTAATACTCTTTTTTTGTTAATAACCAAGACATCAACCAGCAAAACACCTTCGTGTGTTTAAAATCTATTCCATATTATTTATTAAAAAATTAGAGATATCTTATCTTGAGGCAATAATTAAGTTCTAGGAATTAATCATGTTTTACCAATTAAACAAAAAGTTTATTTATTATATTTCAAAATTTAAAAATTATAACTTTATGGTACTTATAAAGAAATGTGTTCGTAACTTATATTTTGTAATAATAAATGAGTTTTTTCTCTCTGTGTACTGGCGAATAAAATCGTAAATGTTGGATTTAATCTAATCAAAATATTGAGGAACAGCTAATTAAAAGGAAATTTATAATACAATTGGATGCCTTATAAAAATATTTAACCGTTTAATATGAAAGAATCACTAACGATGTAGTAAAACAGAAACTTTAAAACATTAGTCCAGGAACTTCTTGAGAAATATGGTCCATTGGAAGGGGTTTCGTGGAGTCTTATTTAGGTCTAATTAGATTTAATAAAAAAATTAGAAATGTAACATTTTTGTGAAGGGGAATTTTATTGATTTTTATCATTTAAAGTTTTTCATAATTGATGGAAGTTGACAGCTTCCTTCAAATAGTATCTCTTGAATAAGAATTTAATACCTCTTCAGCTGGATGTTTGTCACCTTTATACACCTGGCTTATTGGTAAATTAATTTTATTAACTACAGGAGTTTCTCTTGGAATGATGCCACCGCATATGTGTCACTAAGCACTACCCCACAATTTTTTACAAACTAATTTTTCCGTTATTTCTCTATAAAAAATTTGTCTTTTACGTAAAATTTCCGATGAAATTTGCACATGATGGGTTTTCTCTTGTATGAGCCATGTATACAAAGTCTTCTTCACCCTTATCACTGATAAACAACTTTTTTATTGTTGATTTTGGTACCTTTTGCACTTATCTTTAGCCTCGAGGCATTTTAACTAAACGATGATTAGAAACGATGTACAACAAGATCTTGAACAAGAACTTTCTAAACTTTGAAAGTTACGTCTAAATGTAAATGTATACTGACGTTATTGAAAGTTCTTGTAATGGCCCTTAAAAAATCTGTAGCAATACATAGATATTTATAATAAAAACCATATGAAGTATTGCATATATAAACTTGTTAAGAAGTATAGGGTCTTTTGGAAGTGGTTTAGTTGACTCTTTACCCATTGAGATTTAACAGAACAAGCTGTGCAGTAGGGTGGGCCGAAATAGGCATTTTTCGAAAAAATAAATTAAAGTTGCAATACCCATCAACAGTTGCAATACCCATCAAAAGTTGCGTCTATGGTGATTAAAAAAATATATATATTATAATATCCTCAGGCCTCTGAAGGGGTAAACAAATTATACATTTGTATAGGGGAGACCGGGTAGGGTTTGGACACTTTTTTGAAAAAAATTGTATTTTTATTGTTTTAATTTTTTACCTAATCGCGTTATGCTGGATGGGTAAGGTATATACTTAACTTTAAATTTCACAAGCAAAACTTGACAAAAAGAAACATTGAAATGAAACAATATTTTTTTAATTAAGTGATGCATTTGGACAAAGGATGGGGTGACTTAGGACAGGTAGGGAGACCACGGACAGTAAATAATAACCAAAGCATTTTAAAATCCTTTTTATTGAAGACAATATTCTATTAAATCTACATTAAAATAAGTCATATTTAGAAAACGTGCACGCCGTGCACTGCACGGGTATATTTCATAGGACGTGGTAGTTTGGCCACGATATTGAACGAAGGCTTCATCCTCTTCGGTTTTGGTAAATCTATTTGACTGAACCTGTTTTTTAAAAAACTTGACATTGTAGCCATCTAAGAGGGTTTCATCTATTCTTGCCACATAGTTTCTTGAATTATTGGCTTTTTTCCGTAAACTCTAACCACTGCAAACGTGCCAGAAGTTTAAAATTGTTATTTTTGCCATTAGAAATGTAACATTTTTGTAAAGGGGAATTTTATTGATATTTTTATCATTTCATCGCCATTCTCTGAGTCGTGTTCCCAAAATTCGCCTCCAGAGGATTCAGCTTCTGACATTTCTATATCAGGCTCGCTCTCGGAAGATGAGGAGTCGTTGAAAACCTTCCTTTTCACTATTTTTAATTTAGGAACTTCTACTTTAGGAGTCTAGGATTTACGCTTTAATTTTAGGGCAGCAATTTCATCTTTCTCCGGGGTATCTGTGGCAATCATGCACCGTCCTTTTTTTTTGTCTCCCTTTTTGATGGGAAAGGCTGGATGTCTTCCGGAGATTTAAATGAGCAGCTTGCTTTCCCTTCGTTTCCAGTTTTGGGTTCACTTTCCTCAGCTAGTTTTTGAATCTCGATACTATTTGTAATTTCTTCAGCTGGTTGTTGTATTACTGCATCTGTATTTTCCCCAGTTGGTTTTTGTATGTCTGCAACAGTAATTTCTACACTTGCTTCTTGGTTTTCTGTATCAATATTTTCTACAGCTTGATTTTGTGCTGGTTCTGGTCTATCCGTGACATAAGCTCCCAAAAAATCCTCCTCTTGGAATACATCTCTATCAAATGGAACAATGCATGTGCATCGAAAACCGTTTTTCACATTCACTGGATTTGCTGCACGATTCCAAGCATATTTTAAAATATCTGAAAAAAAAACACTATGATTAACACATAAAAATGCAACTTTTAAAGGGTGTAGCAAATTAATTATAACTTTGTTTTTTAGGCCCACCCTACTGTGCAGCATTTGAACAAGGCGTGAATGTGTTGGATGCACCGTGTAGACTGCGTTTTTGTCAGTCAACTACCAAACTTATTTTAATATTTCACTAACTAATTTATTTTTTCATCACTGAAACTTGTTTTCAACCAGAACACAAAGACTCAACTGTTAAAACCTTATTTATAAATTAGGTATATTTGGAGAAGTCTATAATAATTCTTTTGAATTTATTCGCTTTTTTAAGGCTCTGAATTTAAACTGTCCAAATATGCAACCCTTTCCTATTATTATTGGAATCTACTAAGCTTTTTACTTATAAAACTAAGACAGTGCCCAGAACTAGGGATTGCAATTGCTGGATCCCTTATCCAGCTGAATCCAGCGCATTTTTCACTGCGGATCCGCAAATAATAAGCTTTCCAAATAAAGGCGCAAAAGTCTACGTTGTCAGCGTTGGAGCAACCTTACCGTTCTGTCACGCTTGCGGCACGTGCTACACCCCCTCTACACCGCACTTTTCGCTCTCGCTTGATAAAGTTTCATGCAAAATCAGTGTCTTCTTCCTAGACAAAACCAATAGATATTTTTCTCATATTGGTAACCTTGGGAATTATTTTAGTTTCTTCTAATTAAAAAGAGGCGCTGCAGTCGAAATCAAAGAACATACGCAATGGCAACGCTGCATTTATTTTTTAACCTGCAAGTTGGTGTGACGTCGTTAGCTTTGTTATTGTGAATTTCAAGTTTTTGGTTGTGCATTTTCTGTTTTTAAAGTTGTGATAATTGTAATATTTGAATTTAACAAGTATTATAATATTAACGTTCGGTTTATTTAACAAGTCTTTTTTGTATATTTGTAAATAATATATAAAATGTTACATAAATATCCTGTTTTTTAACCCTTCAATCACATATTCATTTTAATTTTTGTAAAATTTTTGGCCTGTCCATTAATTGTTTACAAAAATTAAATTCAAAATAAAAAACCTAAGTTAATAAAACGAGTAATAAAGAACGGTGCGTTTATTTCTTTTGAATTTATTAGATAAAAATAAATTATTAATTGGATAACAAAAATAAAATAAAAATATCTACTTTTTATCCTAAGGAATGCATACTAAAATAAAATAAAACAATTTTTTATTCAATATCGATAAAAGAAAATAAAAATATTTTCATGTCTTTAAGATAGTTTTGTATTACTGTTTTGGATTTAACACGTCGTTTTTTAAAGCTTTTTTTCTATAACAGAGCTGTTCCTTTTCTTTGGTGCTTAGTTCTACTGCAGTAAAGGCACTTTGTAGGTTCGATTTATTAACTATGTGGATATAAAAACAACTTTGTTGTAAAGTTTCACGAAATTTATTAAATTTTGACAATTGTTTTGCTACACAGTAGCTTCTTCAGAATGTATTAAAACTAATACTAGTACAAAATTTATATAACAAAAAAAATATTGGTATTCTAGGTAAGGATTTAATTCTACATCTACCCCTATTAAAATAGGATAGCATTAAGAAATTCCTAATAGGAAAAACCTAATGTATTTATTGTTAACAGTTTTATTAGAGGGAAAATATTTTAAATGTGTAATTTGTTGCATGTTGATAAAATTAAAATAGGTTTAACAGTGGTGAATTATTAGTTTCTATTTGTTCATTGAGAATATTATAAGTATTTTTAAATTTATTAATTTCTAGAAACTCCAATAGATTTAATTTTGTGCCTTTGTTTTCTACATGTAATATTTTATAGTTGTTATTAAAAGTATGGTTTTCTGTAATAAGATGTGCCGCATAAGCTGAATCAAGCTTTTGGTTAATAAATGATCTCCGATGTTCTTTAATTCTATTATTAAAACTACGGCCAGTTTGTCCTATGTAAGTTTTCGGACAATCGATTGTATCGATTGTACCGATCGGTACACGTTAATTGGTATACGCCTGCCTTCTTATGTCTATTAGACTTATCTTTGTTGTTTTTTATGAAAATACTTAAATTGTTGTTAGTTTTAAACGCGATATAGGTATTAATGTTTTTGAAAAATGTGGAAACATGTCTCATATTGGATTATAACAAAGTTGTTTTTATATCCACATACATACATGTAGTTAATATGGAGTTTCATCAAGTAAAGGTCGAAACAATTAATAATTCGATTTATTAATTGTTTCTTTACAGTATTGGATATTTTTTTAATTGTTAATTTTGTTTTGATAGAAGTCAATTTGATTATCCTAATCGCTAATTTTGATCACACAACCAGAGTAGACAACCCAGTTCACAAACTAATGTTTTGGTGTTTTTATCATAATGAAATTATCAACAGCCTGTTACTAACAGGTGGTTTATGGGGCAACTTTAAATAATAACAAAACAAAAAATGCCAAATTTTAGAACATTTCAGGACAAGACCAATTTTATAGGACATTTAGGAGATAATGTTGAATTTTAGGACTTTTAGGACATTTGAGAGATCTGTAAACATTACATTACAGTAGTTACATTGGGAAAAAAACACAAAACTTTTAATAATAATTATTTTAAAAAATAATAAAGATAATTATCGCATAATCTTACAATAATTTTGTTCAAGCTTTTAAAAGAAAAATTAGTTTAATGTCCTACAAATATTTAATTGTCCAAAAAATATAATTTATAGATAAATTTACTAAAAATTTGAATATACGAAATCGTGAAATATTTTTCTTCATAAAAGTTGGACTTGCTTGGTTTCCGCAAGCTCCTGGTCCTGTGCGTCGTCGACGTCGGTGCTCCGTTTCCTCTTGTGGATGGTCGTGGGATGGCCATGTGCACAGCGGAAGTGGTGGCGTGGTGTACCGATGTTGGTGGCACAGGCGCAGGTACGGGTGGGGCCTTGACGGGGCATTTGGGGATGGCAGGAGAAGTGGAGCCCGCTGATGGCTTTGTGGCAGATGATAGCCGAAGTCTGGAGCTTCTCTTTAGGTTTTGCTTAACGATGTACAGATATGAATTGTAAATTGGCTTCTCCCTCCTGCTCCTCACCTGATGTTGGAAGAGACCGGTTTCTGCCGTCATCTCTAGCAGGGTTAATATAACCGATTTCGCTTTAGTCTGAATTTATTGGGCCACTGAGGTATACATTTGGGGGGTGAGACCGCCTCTCATGTTGCCTAACCTGCTGGTATGTGGGAAACGCCTTGCTGCAAAACTGACACTTTCCGCGGTCGCCGCACACCCTCGTCAAGACGTGGGAGTGAAGCCGACTAAGTGACTTAAAACTGATTCCAAAAGTCGAACATGTCAAATTTTGAAGGGATCCTGGGGTGCCAGAATTTAATTTCTTGGACCCCGATAGGACTGGAGTTTTCCTGGATCCCTCTTTTGTGATCGTGCAAAGACTGGTACGGACAGGGGGGGCTTTGGGTGTTGGGAGTTAGTAAGGACGATTGCAACCAACGAAGAAAACAACTGACCCAACGGGTGAAGTCGTTAATTAAGCGATATACGACGTTGCATCTTCGAAACGGGCATTTACCAACCGACGACGGCGCTCTTTCCCGTGCAATACGACGTTTAGAGGCGCCTCTTGGTAACGCGATTTTACTTTACAACAGTTTTTACACGTTTTTTAGTATATCTCATACAGCAATTATTTGATTTAGTGAAGGATGACTTATGTGGAACATTAAATATTATACTGTGTTTGGTGTTCAAAGTTTGTTATTTGTGTACCACTTATATTTTATTATTTTTTTAAAAACTGTTAATTCTCCATGTGTAAAATTACACCTACATTAAAATGTAGAGAAATGTAAATAAAAGCGTCCTTATGGTTAGGTGAGGGTAGTCCACAGTCAGATAAAAATTATACTTTTTTATCAAACAAAATAATTTTGTAGCAAAACTTATTACTTAATGTGGTTTATCTGATATGAAAGTAACTCAAAATAACTATAAAAAACTTTCTCTAAAGGGTGCAGACTTTTTTCTAAAACCCTTGCAAACGTCTATTTTCACACAAAAATAAAAATCAGCAGAGACATAATCCATGAAAACTAATCCCGAATTTAACCAAATTGCTTTGGCTTTTGGTCAAACCTTTCTTAGTTTCAGGCAAAATTATTGCAACATCGTTTATGTTAATCACCGAAGTGTCCGGCATGTTCGGAAAAACAAAAGTATCGATATTCTTGACGCTTCTTCTCAGAAATGTGACTTCATATTTGTCTTCTGCATTGTCAGTACCGAGAGCACTTTACTGACATAGTGGATACCTTCAGGAAATTTAACGACGATGAAAACACCTTCTTTTATGTCCGCTGTATTAACTTTCCTGGTAAAATTAAATTTCTCTTCATCATCAGTAACGAACTCCATATCTGAAGACTCCTTGTACAGAACTTCCTTTTTATCTTCCATGCTACTCGATTCATCTTTAATTTTGTTGTCATCATTTTCTTTTTTTAGGACACTTTGTTTCATCCCTCAGTTCTTGAAAATTTATTTTACCCTTCCGACTTTGAACGTTCTCGCTCTTCTAATTGCTCTTTCCCAGGTGTGTCTGTGATGATACTACTTTTACCTTTCTTTCGCTTTGTCTTTTGTTGTTGTTTTCGAGGTTGGGCTTTTGAATACCTTTGAAAGATTTAAGGCGATATGAATTCTTTTTTTGACAAGTCTCTGAAACTGCACGGTTTATTTATTGACTTCTTGTTGGCTTCGTTGTCGGTTTTCGTCAAAATAATTACGTTCGACATTTTCGTCAAATTTGAAGCCGGTGGTATTATCAACAGGCTGAGGTTTAGGTTCATCTCGATCGGTAACTGAACTTGCTAAAAAATCAGCGTCCTTAAAGACATCGGGATTAAAGGGAGCGATACCAGTTTTTTGAAAACTAGAGATCAAATTAATAGGCATAAAAGCCCTAGCGAAAGCTTGACCTACGCATTCTGCTATGAAGTAGATGTTTAAAGTCAGTCCAGGATGATTTAGCATCTATGTGTCACATTCCGCATTATAATATGCCTTGAGGGGGCCAAAGACTGCTACGTCCAAGGGTTGCATTATATTTCTACAGTGGTGGCAAAGTTAAAATGTTAACTCCAGCCTCTCGAGCTTTGTTGACTATTTGAACCAAAATATGACTTTCGTAATTGTCAAAGATGAGCAGCCTTGGATTTTCTTTGGTGGATTTTGTGTCCTTGATGAAATGATACAGCACTTCAGAAAAAATATCAGAACTCATCCAGCCACTGCTTGAACTTGCGTGGGAAAATCATGACAGGAGGAATGATTGTTCCAGTGGCAGAGATGATAGTTCACAGCTCACCTCGTAAAGCAGTTGTGCATTGGTTAACTTGTTTCGCCCCTTTAGGCGCAATGACTTTCTTTGGGTTTTGTACTGTTGTAGTTCCGGTTTCATCAAGGCTGTATATTCTTGAACCATTTGCTAAAAACGAATGCCTTTTCAAAAGATTTTTAACCCTTAGTAGCTACCCCCCAAAAATTGTAACTTAAACTACGCAAAGGTCAATATGACCCAGATATTAAAAAAAAACTGCCACAGAAGGTACTAGTTTTCTGATCCTTTTTTGGCGGGCAAGTAGCACATCTTTTTCTTTTGGAAGGGGGAATACGTTCAGCAGGCTATAATAGGCACAATTTACAGAACGGTAGATGGTGCTAATTCCCAGGCTGGAATTTTAAAATTTGTTAAATAAAACCAATAATATGTTGGATTTTTATTAACCTATATTATACATTAAATAAATATATAAAATAAACTAGACATATAATTCTACAGCACTTAATCAATTAAAAGAAAAAACCTACATACATTTTTTTTTTAAATATTATGCAGATTATAAATATAATGAAAAAATTAAAATAACTAATACTAACCATAAAAACACTTAATAAATAGATATAAAAAGTAAATAATGTATATATAATTCTACAACACAATCAACAAAAACTAGTACTAAAATTATGGATAACAGCAAGCAAAACATACAGGAATTATAATAAATTAAATAATTTATATATTATTTATTAAGGTAGTGTATCATGTGTACTGTTTTTTAAAAGATATCTTTTATCATCAAAGGAGCTCAATCCAATATTTGTTGTTTAATGCTATAAACATTATGGGTAATAGACCTAATTGAATTTTGACTTATAATTTTATAAGTTTTTGTATTTAAACAATCGAAATAGTCTTGAAATGTTATTCCATTTTTAACAACAGTAACACCTTTAAATTTTTTAACACATTTTTCACCCTCACATTTAAAAGTATACATTTTGGAGCGCAAACCAACAAAATGTGACATAATCTTACCATTTAATTCATCTTTCATCAGAGGAATATTCCACTGATTATTTTTTGGATAATCACTCGTATCAAATCTATGTATATTCACACGAATAACTTCACCCTATACATCATTACAGTTAAATTCATAGACCAAACTATCAGTATCCATGTATAATAATTTGGTGTTGTTGAATTTAGATAAAATAAAAACATAGGGAAAATCATATACACATGTTTTCGATATATCGAGAATCGCCATACCTATGTATAAAGGTTTGTTAAAACATAAATTAGTAAGTTCTACAGCAATAAGATTTTCATTAAAAATAGTTTGGTTTTGAAAATTTGGACTTGCAATTAAATTTTTAGCACCATATCGGCCTTTCCATCTAGTAACTAATTTAACAATTCTATGCTTTTTAATGTTTTCCATCGTCTTGCCAAAGGCTGAATTATTTTAAAATTTGAATAGATTTTTTTCAATATCATTTTCTGCATTTTGTCGTAAATTTGTATTTAATTCTATATAAGGCTTTAACCAGGGTGATTGTTTAAATTTTAAAACACGATGTATTTTAGTTAATATTAATCCGTGTGAAAGAGCTTGTTTTAAATTACGATAGTGAATAATATATTTAGATTTGTTATTTAGGGTAGTCATTAGTTTAGGTAATTTTGTTGGTGGTTTTTTATTTTCTGGACAAAAGGGTAAGTCCATGTGTAGATCATGTAAATGCTGTGGATATTCCAAGTCAACTTCTAAAAAGTATCCAAGCAGGTGAATTATCTGATATATTAAAATCACCTAAGTTTTCATGATTTTTAACCCACTCAAACCCATCATATGGTAAATATTGAGACATTCCCCAGAAGTAAAGAGCATTTACATCGAAATAGAGTAAATATTTGGAGGGTTATGATGGATTAAAATTAGTAATATATTTGTTGTTTGAATTCCTTTTTCAATAAATAAGATCATATCAACATCTTTTAGTATTTGTAAACGGCATTGAGTATACTTTAACATACAATCCCAGGTATATAATAATAATAATGATTTATTTGCAGAAATAACTACATTTTATGAAAATTATAAAATAAAGATATATCTTTACATTAGCACAGTTCTGCAAAAAGGACTAAAAGGCAGTAAAAACTGATATAAATTTAGCCCAGAAAAGTATACATACAGTTTAGAAATTAAAAAAAACAAACAAATTAAAGCTAAAACACTAATAACAACCAATTATATGATCTTTTGAAAAGACAAACGTACAACAAATTAATCTAACTAACACTAAATCTAAAACTGGCTATCAAATAAATTGGCTTTAAATTTAAATTTAAAATTTAAAAGATTTAAATTCTTAAGGTTTAAAGAGAGTCCATTATATAAGCTGTAAATGTTATAAGAGAAAGATCTGCGAAATAATACAGTATGATGTGAAGGTGGTGAAAGCATACCCTTAAAACGTAAATTCAGATTGTGAACATCGCTTCTAAATGTAATTTTGTTATACAGATATGGGGGAATTTTACTAATTATAATAGAATGATACAGCGTCGCAGCATGTAGTTTCCTTCGATTTAACATATTTAGCCATTTGGCATTTTTAAGTTTAAATGATACTGAATCATATTATATATCCAGGTAAAGTATAGTAATGTGCAGGGTCAAGCCTATATGTTTTAAAGGAACTGTTGCGAAATTGTTCGAAAACATCAGCTAATAGTAAAATATCTGTTTTCAAGTAAAGATCTTAATATTCACCTAAATTTTGACAACCGAATTCTC